CAATCTGCAAACTTTCTAATATCTAAATTTCCCTGGGTAGGAATGCATGTGTTTCAAGAAAGGGAGAAAGCAATACCTTGTTTATGACATTTCTCTTATGGAAAAGCCTATTAGTTTGATCTGACAATGATGCATGCTAGTGGGTAATTTGAAATTAGAACTGTATTTATAACATTAGCAGCAAAAAGGGTTTGGCCATGCCCAGACCTGTTCCTATGACCATGAAGATATTAAACATTTTGATCTTTTGCTTATAATTTACTTATGACAGCTATGAATAAGTTTTGCAATCTTAGAAAGCTAAAATTATATATATCAGTATAAAATAAATTTTTTAATTATTTATTAAAAAAATTCATAAACCATATTATTTTATGAACTATCTATAATCACTGCATAAAATACTGATTTCAATGTACAATTTCTTGTACATTGAAATAGAAAATCCACTATCACAATTTCACATCATTTACTTATAAATTGCAATTAAATGTAACCATTTTAATTACACTCAATGGTAACAGTAATTTTTTATTCTATAAGTTTTAATGTAAAGTGAATTTCTACATTAAAATTTTCTTAAATTGACAATTTCATATAATAATTTATGTAAATGATAGCATTTACTCATACAATTATATAATTTGTTTTAAAACTTTATTGTTATTCATCAGTCATTGGTTAATCAAAATTTAAAGTTTTTTAATATCACTTGGATAACTGAATGTTATTGTATAAGAGAATATTTAATGTCTATGGTATGATATAAAAATCAAATTGTTAAAAATGTTAAAATCAAGAAAATTTTTATGCTCTGGCATTTAGTTATTGTAATAACTAAAAATATATTTATTAATAAGTTTATAAATTATTACTGCCATTGCTTATTGCTTATATATTTTTTAATACAAAACTGCCACTTTGCAAATGAAAGTTTAGTTTCTTAATGTGTATTATAGTCTGTCTATTTAAAGAATTAATTTGGGTAATACATGCTATAAAAGATTAACACAATTAATGAAAAAGTTGTTCTGTCATCTAGTGAGAGAAAATAAAATAAAATTCACACACTGCCTGACATATTAAGCAAAAAATGCTGATATCATTAAGGAATGTGCCGATTGATTTAACTGAAGCGACATCACACATGATGTTGCTCTCAAGTTGATTCTTTCCATAGACAGGCTATAGTATAGAAAAAAATTAAATAAAAAAGACTACTACATTAGTAAACTTTTAGTTAGAGATAATCACAGGAAACACTAATTAATTAGATTGAAAAGATATTTATATAAAAATAAATTGATTATCATGATGATAAATATGAAATATAGAGTAGGCCTAATTATATTAGAAATAGAATATTAAATTTTAGTTTGTCATAAAAGGAAATAATGTATATAAAACTCACTATTTTTTGAATACATGAATTAATTGTTTTTAAATTATGAATTTAAAAGATTTTCGTTAGGATAGAATTTAAAGAAAATATGGATATGCCTATTCATTTTATAATTATTTTAAAATGATTTTTACATTAAACGTGGTTATACAGGTTTTTAACATTTATAATAAAGTTATTTTAAATAGTAAAAGCAGTTAAGAAAAATACGAAATATATATATATATATTTTTCTTGCAATGTTTAAAATGGAAGCATGTTTATATTTATTTGTCTCCTTTGTTTTGAAGTTAACTTACAATATATAAAATAAGAAATTAGAGGATAGAAGGCAAATATATATTTAAATAGCATTTCTTTTTGATAGTCATTTGGATTTAATGTCACATAGATTTATTTTATTATTTTAATCTAAATAAAACATCATTAATTAATTGATAAGAGAATTTATAACATTTAATTAAATATGAAGTATAAATAATTTTTTGAATTGATCCAAGAAAATACTTAACTTAATTTTGAATTTTACCAGATTTTATTGATATAATGTCTTTTAATTAACTATATTACATTGCTTTATACTTGAAAATATAACAACTGTTAACAAATTATAAAATATAAACTAAAACTAAAAAGAATTTTGTAGCTTGTATATCAGGAATTATGTTAGATTGGTATTTTTGTGGATAGGCGTTAAGCAGTTTTGGATATTATATAAAGGATTTTGAGAATATGATTAATTTTAGCAGAGGAGTAACCTATAAGAAAGGATTAAAATTCTAAAGTTTTCAATGATATTATTTTAATGATATATATACTGTATATATATTTGTGCATAAAATTACATTGATATATTGATTTGATATCAGAATTTTAAAGTTTCCAAACATCATGAAGCAAAATCACAGTGATAAGATAAACCGTTATTTCTTGGATAACTTCAAAGATAACAATTAAATCTGGTAAAATTCTCTAATAAGATTAAAGTAAACAGTTACTTTCCAAGAGATTTAAAAAGAATAAAGTTTTATTTAATAATAATGAAGTATTAAGTTGATTTCAGTTTTTAGTAAAACAGTGGTTAAGCACCATCAAATTCCAATAAACTAAAAGTTTATCAAAATTTGTGTGGCATTTTAATTGTTGTTTTATTAATAATTGAAATTATCTTTAATTTTTTTAAAAGAAATACTGTTCTGATTAAAATAATCATAAGGGAATTGACAGTTTAAAATGATTGACTAAATTGTACCAGATTTAAAATAGTTTTTAATACAAGATATAGAATTTCTTTATTAATAATTTCTTGTAAAGAAGTTTTATAATATGTTGTGTATTACTAAAAAATATAAATCTTATAATATCTTGTAAGAAACAGATTTATTTTTTAACATGTGTTTATTTTTTTTATAAATACAGTTCAGTACAGTATAAATAGTGAATCAATGTTATTTATAAATCTGAAAAATTTACACACTGTTTAATAATACTAAAAATTTTATTTTATAGATTAAACTTTTAGAAATTTATATAGACTGCTGTGATTGGGTTTGCAAAACAATAAATTTAAAAGTTAAAATGCCAATTTTGCCTTGAAAATAAGATTTTATATTATTATTCAAAAATGTGAGCTTAATTAATTTAAGATGTATATGTGTGTAAACTAAATAAATA